GGTTTTGGTCGTCCAACAAATTCCCCGGAGGGCCTGCGTTGTCAGGCTGAGGCTGCTTAGGCGAATGCGTTGTAGGTCGCCAAATCGTAGGCATGCGTGGTAGGCCAAAAGGAAGGCTCCGAGCAGTAGGACCATTTGGGTACCGGTGGAAGATTTGCAAACGAGGCGTTCCCATGACACGATGCATGCCATGGGAATGGGCAGGGCTTCTTTGCGATCTCTGGGCTTAATGTCGATTCTGTAGGTTGAAATGAGTGGATTGCTGAGTAGCTCCAGCAGGTGTTGCACCTGAGCCATGCGCGATAGCCAAGACAGGGCTTTAAGGGTTGTCTTGGGCGAGATTTGGCACACGTCCCTGTCTTGGGCAAGGGAGGCGAAGGCGGCCTCGAGGTAGTCGGCGAGCTCCACCAGGGATAGTGTTGAAAAGGCTATGTTGTGTGCCTGCAGAAAGTCTAAGAATCTGGTGCATCTGGACAGGTAGGCCTCGAGGCTGGAGGCGGCGTAGGCTGAGATGGCTCGGACCCGAAGTCTTTCAGGCGTGAGAGATTGGGTCGTCTCAGTCCAGAGGGAGCTGGTGTCCCTCAGCTTGTCCAGGAGGAGCAGCCAAATTCGGTTGCACTCTAGTTTGCGAGCATCTTCTTTGGCAAGCATCGTTTGAAGGCGAGGTGGCCCCAAACGTTGTTGGTGAACGATTGGCTCTTGGCGCTTCGATGGTGCTTCGATTTCCGGCGTAGAGGAGCTGGCGGGGTTAGGCGTTGCCGGTGGCTGAGCCGGTAGAGGCTTAGGCTTATTCAGGTAGGCACTAGCGGGAGCAGGCTTAGGGGGGGGCTTGGGCAGCGGAGCCGTGGCATGCCAGCATGTCTGAAATTTCTTGGGGCATGCCGGAGGAGCTGGGCCTCCAAGCGTGCGAACAGTGTGTTTCGGAACGGGCCCCGAGCGTGGGGACTTGCACAATGGCTGGGGCCAGGCGGACAGGGGCAGGAGCAGGGAGGCTGTGCTATGCGGTGCTTGCACCGGGCGTCTTCCACGCATTTTAGGCACTGGCTTGGGCAGATGCTGGGACAAATTTGTGACTGAGATGGCGGCCCTTGTGCAGGGCTGAAAACCCGGAATGACCGATTCCGCCCCGAGCACCTCCCAGGAGGGAGAGGAGTCGGAGGCCGGCCCAGGCGTGCTGACTTGCTGCGGGGGGCAAGCGTGCGATGAAGCCTCATTTTCTGGGGACCAGTCCTCGATGGGGTCGGGTCCAGTGCTTGAGGGAGCTTGTTGTGGGTCCCAGTCCTCGATCGGGTCGAGGTCGGGCTCGATCTCGGAAAGGAGATCGATCGAGAGTCCCGGCAGGGAGGCTGGGGAGGGCGGGTTAGGGCTTAAATCCCCACTATTAGGTAGCCTGGGCTTCTTTCGACTAGGAGTGGGGCTCCAGTCGACACGTGGCTTGTGGCCCGGAAACATGTTCCTGGTGGTTTGAGTAAAATGGCTGCAGAGAGGGTGGCTCACAGAATGCTGATGATGGGCGCTCCTTGCATGTGGAGGCGTTACTGAAAGCGGCAATCCTGTGCAAGAAGCTGAACTAGGCACCTGCAGAGAAACAGGCAGGAGGCTTTTCTCGGTGTGTGAAGAGACAGGGCTTCGGCTGCATCTCGAAGGGCTCGATGGTGGGCACCTGCATCAGGTAAGCATGGGAGCTAAACAAGGCCAACTGGTCGCATGTGTAAACATGGTTCTGCAGTTGGCATACCCTTCTTTTGTCCCCTATTCGGGCCGGCGGCGGATGCAAAACAAGGCCCAATTCTTGGGTCGAGAATGGGCAAGGGCTGCCAGGCTTGGGCACGCTGGGCGGCAAGGCATAGGCGATGCCATTAGGGAAAATGCTGGCGTGTTGCCAAGGCTTTAAGGCGCGTAGGCATGGAACCAGCCCCATGGGTCTTCGTGGGCTCTGCGAAACTCCACGCAGCGGCTGCACAGGTGATCCAAATGCTCACTGTCGGTGTCCGACATAATCTGTGCACACACGAGGCCAAAGGGGCAGTGTGGGCGTGTTGAGCATGGGCGCATGCATCGTAGGCGGTCTCGATGGTCCACGTAGAAGACCTTGAGAAGGTGGGGCGCCAGATTGAAAGTATCTGGTAGGCACACACTGGGCATGATGAGGGTGCCTCGGTAGCGTCTATCGGCGTTGGGCGTAATCAGCAAGTGTGGGCAGGGCATGGACCTGGCACTGGTTGCCTTGGGCCGGAAGTCCCCTCCTGTGCGCTGTGGGTTCGGGAAGGGGTTGCGGAGGCCTCGATCCGAGGAGTCTTGCCCTAGGCCGAGTAGGTCCGTGAAGTCATCCTGGGTCTGGGCGTTCTGCGAGTCCGTCTGCTCTTGGGAGGCGAGGTGTTGGCTTCCTGGGCTTGGGCCGACTGCGGCTGTGTAGGCGGTGGGCTGATAATGGAGAAAGGCACCACTGGGCCCTCGACAAATTGCGGGGCCCAAATGTTGAACCCCAAGGAGCGCACTTCCTGGGCTCGGGGGTCTCCCTGGTCGGCATGGGCAACTAGGCTGGCGTAGTCGGCTTCTGTGATGTGCACCCGACCCCTCTGGTCCTTCCTGAGGATCCAGCCATCCGCTCCGAAGACGGAGCATTTGATCTTTTTGTGGGCTGGTTCTGGCTCCTGCGGCATAGGCGGCGGCGGGGCCTTGGTTCCCGGCGGCTGATGGGATTCTTGGGCCTGCTGAGGCGGGTGTGCGGGCGGTGGGCAGGAGGGAGGACCTTTGGGCTGGGCTGCCGTGGGCTCTTCCTCGAGAGTGAACCAGAAGGAGTCCCAGTCCACCGAGACGGCAGTGGCTGGCGGGTCCTGCCCCCAAAAGTTGTGCCAGGTCCTGCCTTCGTAGACCATGGTCATGCGAGGGTTGGGCTTGGTTGGTGAGGCAGATGGGCGGGCTTCTGGCTCAGGCGCAGCCTTGCTGGTGGGCTCGGAGGGCAAGCTCTGCCCCGGGCTGGGCGGGGTACTCTTGGCAGGAGGGGCTGGCGGCACCTGTGATTCTGCGGGTGCAGGTGCTTTGGGCTGCTTGGGTGGCCATGGGCTGACAATCTTGGGCACGGCAATAGGCACGCCCCCGAAACCTATGACCTCCTCGATCACAGGGCTGTCCTCGTCGCTGGAGCTAATGGGCAAGGGCGTGTTGAGGGCCTCATCCTCTTGGATGTCGGCCCAGGCTGGGCGGGTCTCGGAGACCGAGGGCAGTGGGCCGGGCTGGGCAGATGGGCTTGTCTCGGCCTCTGTCGAGGGGAGCGTGTTGGCGATGTGCTTCACGAGCGCCTCAGGCACTTTGACTCCATCCTTCTTGAAAACTAGGCTGGGAATGACGCGGCCATCCCCATGGGCTCGGCGGATCTGGTCGGGCGACCAGGATAGGCTTTGGGCTGGGTCGATGAAGTCCCAATCTTTGCGTGTGAGGGCTTTCGCCTTTTGCCCGCAGCGGGTGGAGGCTGACTTCTTCAAAGGCCAGTGACCACCGGTGGCGGGGCCTTGGTGGGCAGTGTCTGTCCCGGCTGGGCATTGCCTGAACCCGAGGCGGGTTGAGGCTGTGCCTCCTGGGCAGGGGCACTGGCTAGGAGGCGGTCGCGGGCTTCGGGGCTGAGCTGATTGAAGTAAGCCAGCAGCTTTCCCTGAATGTCGGCAGTGTCCATTCTGGGCGAGAGAATGGGCGAACACTGAATCTGGGGAGGCTTGAAGCTGTGAAAGCGGCGCTGAAAGCAACAAGGTATGGCTCCAGAGACCGCATGGGCAGGCATGTCCGCATGCAGAGAACATGGCATGTGCGGCAACAACACTCACGAACGACTGCAAGAGCACATCCGGCCTTGGAGTCGTGCGAGAGAGGCAGGCAGAAAGTGCGTATTGGCCTGACAGTGAAGAAGTGTGAACACCAACTGGTCAGCAACTCTCAGGGCGGTGTGCAACTAGTAGGCAGAATAAGGTGGCAACTGGCAACCTCGATGTACATGAAGTCGATGCCGAGCTCGAAGGCGTAGGTACCTGCAGGCAAGGGGCAGGATGGGCGGGTCCATGGACAATCAGTGCATGGGGGGGGCACTAGGCAAGGCAGCGTGCGGCTCACAGGGCATTGGCGTAAGTCGGGTGCGACATGGCGGCGCGAGTCCCGGTAGGCACGTGCAAAGGATGGGCAGAAAAGGTGCTCACGCGAGGCACCGGCATGGGCTAGGCACCCACTGAGGCAGCGGTGCTTGTGCCCGATGAAAGGCCATGGTCGGAGTAATCATCAGAGTCAGGCATTGGCAGGCCTGCCAAATACCAGCGGGCATCGGCGGCAGACCACCAGTCAATGACGTGGAATGAGCGGCGGTCTTGTGGGCTAATGTGGGCCCAGAGGCAGGCCAGTATGTTGCTGAGGCCAAAGAGGTGTCTGGCCTGTACCACTATGGGCATGAGCGCCTGTGCGGGTAGACCATGTAGAGCGAACACGTGGGCATGGGCGCGTTGCAGTGCCGACATATGCAAGGCACACTGTCAGCGGCATGTGCGGTTTTGATAGCGGGAGCAGAAGCTCTGCATGGGCACGGCGAAGAATTGGTGCTGTGCCGATCTGGGGCCAGCAGGCAGCGGGGGCAGTATGGAGCCAGCATTAGACAGCAGGTGCTGTGGCGGCGGAGGCTTAGGCTTAGGCCAGGGTATGGGCGTGTTAGGGTCGGCAGGCGGGTTAGGGCTATTATTAGGCTGTGGCAGCGTTGGTGCTGTTGTAGGCGGTCTGACCTGGTGAGGCAGCCTGACCTGTGCAAGAGCGAAGCTGTGTGTGAAGGGCTCTTGCGCTGAGGACGCTGAGGCGTCTGGGCATGTGTCACTGCTGTCCTCGGTGCCACTCCAATCCTGGACATTCCAGGGGCAGGGTTGGAAGGCTGGGCTTTTAGGCTGAGGGGGCATGGGCACGGCGTGACTCGACAAGGCTAGTCAAGGGGGTCCCGAGAAAAAGCTAAGAGCCGATAACTGCGTGAGGTATCAGAACCACACGGGGGGCTGTGCAGCTTCTAGGCGAAGAAGGCGATCCTCTAGGTGTAGAAGCTCTCTACGCAACAGGGCATGGGGATTTGCCTCTTCCCACCTGTTCGCCGGGACCTGAAAGGTACGCAGGGCCTGAAGATGTGCATTGTAAGGCAGTATTGCAATACGCTTGAGGGTATTGATTTGGGAGGGCATGGGCCCCAAGGCTTCCCTAAGGCTTGACATCTCCGCTTCTGTGCGAATGCGATAGGCCAGAAAGTCGGCTGCGATGCTGTCGAGCTCATGCCTGAGGTCGGCGTAGGCCTGCTGGGCGAAGGTCAGGCTGGTGCGTATTTCCTGCAGTTGGGCAGAGACTGCGTGCAGCTCCAGGCGTCTGGATTCCTCTGCCTGCATCAGAGTGCGGCCCATTGCGTCTTGGCAGGCCAGGTGATTGTGCATATATACGAGCAGGGACCTTATGTGCACCAGGTCGTGAGGCTCGTTGGGCTTGGAAGGCATGAAGTCATTGGCTGTAGAAGGCATGTCGGAGGCTCCAAGAGGAGTGTCACGCTTAGCTTCAAAGGGGGGCCCAGCGGGACCCATAGGCGTATCACTTGCAGAAGCTGAGTTGAAAACTCCAAGAGGAGTAGATCTCGTAGCTCCAGGATGGGGCTCAGTGGGGCCCATATGTGCATCCATTGTAGTAGGCAAATCAGAGGCTCCAAGAGGAGTGTGCATCGCTGGCTCAGGCGTGCTGATCTGTGCAGAAGTGGGCGCTGTGCGTGTCCTGAAGCGAACCGGCGGGGTGGTATCCTCTGGGCCTGGCTCGTAGCCAGGGCAAGGCGCGGCGTAGTCATCTTGGGCAGGTTGTGCAAACAGGGCCAGTCTGTTCAAGTGCAAGTAGACCAAATCATCCCACTCGAGGACGTAGTCGTGGCGTCCGCTATCTGAAGAGCTGCGAACTTCTGTGTGGATGGGCATGCTCGCACGGTAGGCCATGGCTGGACGTGCAAGCTACAAAAACACCAGGATTACGAGGCCTGGAGGCTCTAGAAAGGACTAAGAGCGTAGAAGGCCTTGACCGAAAAGCAGAAGGCCCCACCTAGGGGTTAGGTCAAGGCCAGCTGAGAGCCGGAGATGCTCCAGCTGTGCAAGGCTTGTTTAGGCGTATGGCAAATTACGGTGCATGATTCACTCGTGGGAAAACACACGGGAACCAAAAACCCGAAGCGATCGTGTAGTCCCACCGTCTCTGTCGCAGACCCACAGCCGTGTAGCCTGCCCCTTTGCATTGGTAGGTGGCTTTTTGCCACACTCCACTGTTTTGGGGAAAGGCACAGGCAGTGCCCCCCAGCCTTGTGCCTTTGTCCGACAAAGAGGCCGGCTCAGCATACAGATCCCAGCCCAGGGATTGCATTGTGGCTCTCCTACTATGCAACATTTCCGGGGTGAGGTGGGTTTCCTGCAGGCACACCACCTTGGCTTTGGAGGAGGTAACCCACTCCAGTGCTCCATTGTTCAGACTGGTGACATTGGCACTCATGACCCGCAGGCACTGGTCAGGCGAGGCTGAAGGTTCAACCTTCTCGTGGGTGGGCTCTTCTGAGTCAGTGCCGTCGGTTCCTCTCCTTGCTGTCGCTGACTGCGCACCTGTGCTGGTGTCAGGGACTCTTCCTCCTTTGGGATCCCAGAGGCTATCACCTCCTTTGCTTGTCGAAGAGCCTTCTCGGTGACATCCTCTCCTTGCTCTAAGGCATGCACCAGCCCCAGGCCAGGGAGTCCTCCGCCATCACCTCTTCTTGGGCTTCGATGAAGTTTAAAAGGGTGGCTTCCTTCGCCTGGAAGGGGCTCGCTTGATCTTCCAGGAGGTTGACCACCTCCTGCCATGTCATCTCCGGGAAGGTGTCACCTTCTGGGCTTCATCCTTGCATTGTTTCGGGGAGGCGTCTTGGGTTACCAGAGGGTTCCCATCAGGGTTCACCTCCCATGATGGCTTCATTGGTTCGCCTTCATCAAGTGCCTCATCATCTGTGTGGTCCAGCTTAAAAAACTTTGGCCCTGTGATCGGAACGCTTTCTGGCGACTCCTTTCCAGGCCGACAAAAGTGGTGGAGCTTAGCAGCAGCGAGAGGTGCCACACTCTAGTGAGAGGCTGAGGCAATGACCTCATAGGCTTGAGGTCCCACCCTCAGTAGTGGCACTAGTAGCAGAAGGCTTTACCTGTACAGTTAGCCTCTGCTGCTCAAGATAGCGTAGTGGTACTTAGCAGTACGGACTCCGGTCCCAAACACCAAGACGGTGGACTCGCAAACCAAGCTCAACTCGGAAAAAAAATTGAACCCAGGTTCTGGCTCAAGTTTTCGGCCCAAGGAGTAGCCTGAGGGAAGTTTCGGAGGTCTCAGCCTTCCTAGCCTGGTAGCCAGCCTAGGACAGTTTGCCGGAGGTGCCTTCCTCTTAGCCATGGCCCCCCGCGAGTACATCTGCTGCAGTGGTACGAGCTGCACAGGATGGATTTGGGCGGACAGGGCTAAGAAGAACCAGCTCTGCAAGATGTGCAGCACACCATGGGCAAACAGCATTCGCAAGGCGAGACAGAACTGGAGCAAGTGGAAGCCACAGTGGCCTACGGTCGCCGAGGCAGCTTACTGGCAACCACCAAAGAAGCCCAAGACTCCGAAAGCACCACTGCCGAACAAGGTCCTGCAAGCCCTTGGAGTGGCGTGGGACAGTGTGCCTGAAGAGGTGCAAAAGAACCTCAAGGAGGCAGGGTATAAGCCACCCAAGGCACAGGTCAAAGAAGAGGTGGATGATCTCGCCGACCTGTGCCAGAAGCACGAAGCCGCCCTGCCTGAGGAGGTCAAAGCCTACCTGAAGGGCCTCAAGCCCAGTCAGGAGGTGACGCCCTCCCAAGCTGCAAGCCAGGCCAGCCAGAGCTGGCAAAGTGCAGCTGGCAAGCTCAAGCACATCGCTGATCAGAAGATTGACCTGCAGAAGCGCATTGACATGGCGAAGGAGTCATTAAGGCAGCTTCTACAAGAAATGATCGTGCTGAATGAGCAGGCCGAGAGGGCACAGAAGGCAGTCGAAGCAAGCTCAGGTCTGCTCAAAGAGAGAGTCTTCTGCGAAACCGCTGCGGACATGGAGGTCGACAGCATCCTCCAGGAATTGGGGGTAAGCCTCAACGAAGAGCAAGAGAGGAAACTCCATGAAATTAAAGCACACAGGAGGTCCCCACCCCTCCAGGCCTTGAGGAGCGACCCCAGGGGATGCCTCCCGGAAATGCCAATGCCCCGCCAGGGTTTGGCCCGGTGGCCTAGGGACTCGGCGTGTGGGGCCTGGAGCCCCAAAGCAAGGGCCCCACAGAGCCAATGTGCGACCCCAAGCAAGGGCTGGAACACATGCTGCGAACTGCCCAGCAGTTCCTAATAGCGTGTGCAGAATATTACAAACAAGGTGCTCACATCAATCTACATGGGAAAAGATTGAGGGAGGCCTTGGGGAAGCAACTTACTGCAAACAGCAGTGGTTGTGAACAAGGCTGGCAGAAGCCCAGCCAAGCCCCACCAATCACTCCTCTTCCCAGTACTGAGTGAGAGGGTAGCCCCTATCTGTGGGTGCGGATTGCCTCATGTCCGCTTGCAAACTACCCTTCTCCCTTTCCTGTCAGTAAGAGGGCATCCCTCCTGGTGCACAGCAAGGCATATACATTCTGCACTCAGAACCTGCGACCCCTCGGCCACAGGCACCAATTAACAGGGTTGTCCGCCTGCTTCAGCTGAGAGGAAAGAACTGCCGTAACTGCTCAGCCTGCAGCCCTGTGGGCCCTGGGCAGTGAAGCCCGCCACTTCACAGCCCGAGGATGCCACCTCCACACTCCTGGCGTCTGGCACTCCAGGACACTGTGTGGAGGGTTCCAGAAAGCACCTCCTGAAAACTACCCTGTGCGAGGGTGGATGGGACCACCTGGACAAGGCTTATGTCTACAGGCTTGGGGACACTGCACCCCTCAACTTGGTATATTTGGCGCAGGGTCGACGCCTCCCCTCAACAAGGCGCGGGGACCACGCTTTCCCCTCAATTCCCCCATGCACGAAGTGCACTGGCGCGGGGAAACACGCCAGGCAGAAGCCAAAACCATAAACATAAACCTCAGGCAGCGCCTAAGGCGGAATCTTGCCTCTGGTAGCTATCCCACTCTCAAGCACTGCCGCCAGTGTGGATTTACTGTAGATGAGTCCTAGGCAAGGCCAAGGTGGACAAACTAAAGCTCCTGACACTAAGCTTGGTAGGACTGGGCATACCCCAGCATGACAAAGGTCAGGAGGGCCTTATACCACTCATCTCAAAGAGGATAAAACCTCTGGCTGTGTGAGTCACGAAAGAGCCCGCCAGATCTATCTCACACTTCAAGCCAATGTTGAACTGGTTAGCAGCCAGTGTAGGCGATAGCCCGTTACAAGCCACAGACAATGTAGCAGGCTTCCAGAAGGGGGCATGTGCTTTCGGCCTGCTGGCCACTGCATCACGTTCCCTAATCGCCACTGCAGACTCCCAAACTTCCAGCTTCCTAACTCCAGCTCTCCAGGGATTGCAAGCGGTGGCAACAGGCTGTACAGACCAGTTGCTCAAGTTCGCCGTTCACTCTCTTACTAACCGTGCCTTGCGGTCCCCCCGAGCATACTGGGCTGATCCCTGCCCGCCGGCCCTTGCCCCTATCTGTTCGGGTCAGAGGGTCTGCACCTCTCTGCTGCCTCGGTGCCACTTGGCCACGAGGCCCATGGAAGGCATCCCTGTTTGGCACACTCGCTGAAACTCTGCTCCAGGGACTGGGCATCGCGGAAGTGCCCTGCCCTGGTAGTTCGCTCCAGTCGAAGGATGCACCTTCCCTCTCGGCTCACCTCTGAAGGCTATCCCTCTTAGAGGGTGGGCTCCATGGCATCTAGGCAGCTACCCTACCGGAAAACTGCCTACCACTTGCCTTCTCACTCGAGCCGAGAGCTTGAGCCAGAATTTTTTTTCCGAGTTGAGCGAACTAGTGCGAACCACCTCCTTGGTGTTTGGGTTGTGAAAAACCGTGCCTCTGTACTGGCACATCTGATGGCCCTCTTGGCCCTATGGTACAGGGGAGGAATATCACCTCCTCCTAAGCTATCATCCTCTTTGGGATGCTACCAGAGGTTGATACCTCATGAGAGGATTGAACCTCCTGGCAAAACATTCCTCAAGGTTTCTGGTGCACTGTGTGCAAACTGTGAGAGGAAATCGGCCAGGGGTGTGTTCTCTGGCAGCGAGGATGAACCTCGACTCCATCATCCTCGTTGGGATGCTACCAGAGGGTGATACCTCATGAGAGGATTAAACCTCCTGACAAAAAGTTCCCTCAAGGCCGCTGGTGCACCTGGCGCAGGCTGTTAGAGGGGATCGGTCAGGGGTGGTTTCTCTGGTAGCGAGGATGACCTTCACTTTATCCTCACTGGGAGGATGCAACCTCCTAGGTTGCTTCAGCTGCCGGTGCCTTCAGGGATTTTGCACAGGGGGTCTGCTGCAACTTGGGCTGTCCCTTGCACCTGCTGAAAGAGGCTGCGGATGGCATTGGTTGGCTCGGGCTTATAAACTGCGCCTTGCACCTGGGGTCCTTTTTAAAACTGCATGCAACTGAAAGTTTTTGCGAAACATTTTTAGTCTTCAAGGACAACTGTCCACCACAACCTTCGCAGACCCACAGTTGTCTGTCCCCTAGCAGTTTTAAAACATGTGTAACATGTACCCCTTCAACCGTCACTCTGCCTTGGTGTGTGCATTGGTGCGCTGCCAGTGCTTCCAAGGTTTTGCGGTTCTTTGTGTGCAGGAGTTTAAGTTGACACTGAGCACACCGGAGGTTGAGACCTTCCCATTCCCACGCATGCACAGGTTTGGTCCGGACCAGCTCCTGGAACCATTCCTGTTGGGTGGTGATGTGGCCTCTCCCTATGTTGGAGCCAATGCGCTTTTTGCAGGGCC